ATTAATCTTGCTAAAACAGTAACTATTCATAACACTCTGGCTGGGCGCAGTAGCTAACACCTGTAATACTAGCACTCTGGGAGGCTGAGGTGGGAAGATCACTTGAGCTCAGGAGTTCAAGACCAGCCTGAGCAAGAGTGAGACCCTGTCTCTACTAAAAATAGAAAAAATTATCTGGGGATAGTGGCATGTGCCTGTGGTCCCAACTACTTGGGAGGCTGAGGCAGGAGGATTGCTTGAGCCCAGGAGTTTGAGGTTGCTGTGAGCTAGGCTGACGCCATGGCACTCTAACCCGGGCAACAGAGTGAGACTCTGTCTCAAAAAATAAAAACATAAAACATAACACTCTGTTTGAAATCTTAATGATTTATCATTGTCTTAAAGCTAACCCTTCATGATTTATCACTGCTTACCCCTCTGGATTCTTCTCTTGCCAATCCCCCCACCTCACCCCTTCTCTTGATCAGACAAATTGCAGTATCTGCAGTTTCATGGTTATGCCCTGCTTTGACTGGTTACCAGTATCTCAGCTGTTCCAAAGCTGGCAAAGTTACTTAACTCCTTTCTCACTATGATTCCTTTAAGTCCTCCTTGGCTCAGCTTAAACCTTTCCCTCCTTTCACCTACTTAGCCATTCCTTTCCAATATTCTCACAGCAATCTGTACACTTATCCATCATTGTCCAAATAAGAACAATACATAATTGTTGTTCACCTGTGTCTCCACTAGAGGACAATTTCTTAGGGACAGAAATTGTACTTTTCAACATTACTATGCCCAGGCCTTAGAAGGAGCTCAATGAATTTGCCTTTGTTTTACTACTCATTGTTTATTATTCAGGACAAGGCATAGTTATTATGGGATATAAAATTAAGGTATGGTTCCCAAAAGTTTTCAGTGCCACAGCCTCAACCTATTGCCCCCAGCCCCCATATATGTATATTTTGAAGACAGCTTCTCACTCTGTAGTTCACTGTAACCTCAAACTCCTGGGCTCAAGCAATCCTCCTGCTTCAGCCTTCCAGTCCCAGTAGGTGGGATTACAGGCTCATACCACCACTCCCAGCTCAGTTTTGTAAAAATATATTTTGTAGAGATGGGGTCTACATTGCCCAGGCTGGTTTTGAACTCCCGGCCTCAGCTGATCCTCTTACCTTGGGCTCCCAAAGCACTATAGCCCCTACTATACTTTTGTAATTTTACAGAACCAGTTACTTGTGAAAGTAAGTACTCTAGTACCCTGCTGTATTTGAAGGTTCGTGGCAAATCAGCCTCTGGCTTTGGTAAAGTCAGAAAAGGTAAAAGGTTATGTTTCCTGACTTGAAAAATTCTGGTGGGAGGGAAGTGGGGGTAGAGGGAAAGGCATATCAAGTAGAGAGCAAAGTGCAAAAGGTTGAAAAGCACACTGGGCATTTAGTGAATGGAAAAATAAATTTAACAACATTTTTGCAAACCTATACCTAATACTGCGAAAAAGATAAAGCATAATTTCTGCTCAGAAGTTTAAAATATAATGGATACCTGAACATAACTATAACAAGGCAGTACTAAGTGTTGTTAAAGATAGAACCACAGAGCACAACAGTGCAACAAATAAAAATGATTGGATCTTGGAGAGTTTAATGAAGTGGCCCATGAAGCAAGCCAGCAGCAAAAGGTAAAAGATAAAATAAACTGGTAAAGTGATTAAAATTTGAATCTCTAGATCCACTGCTTATTAAGACTTCCAAGTAAAAATTGGAATAAGTTTACAAGGTTGTTTCTAAGAATCAGTAAGTGACTTATCCTCTCTGCACAGCAGGAGTGTGAGGTGGGTAAATTGGGCTGAGGTGTACAGTAGTATATATGGAGTCAGGGTATCTTCGCAGGACTTTCATTACAAGCTCATGACTTCTCAAGCCCAAATTGGCCAAACTTCACCTGCTTTTCATCCACAGGAACTCAGCCAACATGTAGTCTTTCAAGGCTGTTATCAGTCTTCTAAAGGTTTGTCTTTATTTGAAAGATTGCCAGTTTAATGGGACATTTCCCAATCTTCCATTCAACAAATATGCCAGGTCCTAAAATAATGCAAATTTGGTCTTATTGGAGACTAATCAATTCTGCCATAGAAACCAAAAACAAATGGGACCGATGAAACTCATCTACTATACAGATAATAACCTATGAGAAGTGCCAAATAAAAGTAAAGCATATATGTGAGAAGGGGGTAGAGGAGCAATGGGGCAAGTAAACAATTGATGAGACACAAGGCACTCAATGTACCATGATCTCATTTCTGTTACCCATTGGTGACACCCAATCTGTGTCGTGTGCTCTATGCCCAAGGACAACTAGGGACTCAACAGGTGTTGGATCAGCTTACTGGTTCCTCTTAATAGAACAAGCGTAACACTGGGCCCAGACATCTTTTGCTGAAGTGGAATCCATTGCCCAAACCTCAGCTCTGAGCCTTAGGACATCCGATAAACTAGAATTAAGACACATATTTTATAAACTAGAATTCACTGAGTGCAACTGAGCCCACCTATCTACACCCTATTGTAAGTGAAAGCCCTCTCTCTCTCCCATTGCTTCTCCCTGGGTCTATGATTACAACTTCATTTGGTCTGCAAGCCTCCTATGATACCGTGTTTCCCCAAAAATAAGACAGGGTCTTGTAATTATTTTTCCTCAAGAAGACACCCTAGGGCTTACTTTCAGGGGATGTGTTATTCTCTCTGGGCTCAGTAGGAGACTGCTTGCTGAAGCTTTTCCCCTATCCCTTGGTGTTTGTGGGGGGTGAGAGAGGCCCACAGTGCTGAGTAAAATGGCAGCCACAGCTTTCCTTCTTCTCCCTGGGGACACACAATACCTAAAGCGGAGCGTCCCGCTCCTCACTTCACTGAGACTTTCCCCTCAAAGCCTCAGCTTGCAGCACGCACTGGATGGCTGGGACCTGACAGAGGGAGCCGAACTTGTTGGTGGGGCTGCCTGCACCTTTCAGGTCACCTGTGGGATAGTAACTGTCATGATGGAGCAGATGAGAAGGGCTGCTGTCTTTACTGATGTGATGAAATGCATGGGTTGTGCAGATGTGCCGCATAGCCCCATCCATCACTAGGTCTTATTTTGGGGTAGGGCTTATATTACACAAATGCTTAGAAATCCTGCTAGGGCTATTTTATGGGTTGGTCTTATTTTCCGGGCAACATGGTAGATATAAGGGCATTATTACCAGATAAATTTCACACTGAAACCTATTCTGTACCATGAGCCACAGGCACCACTAAACAAGCAATAATTTCACTTTTTTTATACTATCCACTGGTCACCTACCCATGAAAGTTACTAGTAGCCTTCCAGTTTACAAGAGAACACAGGCACAGAAATTAGTAAAACCACACCAACAAATGGCAACCAGACTAAAGTAGTCTCATGTACTGGGAAGACACCCAACATCAGCAGGGGCTTCTGTACAAGTGAATATTAAGCTTGGAGCTAAAGGATGACTTAGGAATTAAAAAGCAGGACAGGGCAGCAATTAGTTATTTTAGGAAGCATTCTCATCTACAAGTGATGCAAGATTAATGTTGGTGAGGCAATAAAGATCATGAAAACCCTTTCAAGGCCAGATTAACAACCTTACATAACATCCTAAAAACAATAACTTGCAATTTAGACAGCACAACTTGGATACATTACTATTTCATGTAGCTACTACATCATCTATGCTCCCTTTAATTGTGCCTGTCCTCTTTGTAGTGCAAAGTTGGCCTTGCTGCCACACTTGAATTTAAAAAAGCCAATTAAGGGCGAGGCATGGTGGCTCATGTCTATAATCCTAGCACTCTGGGAGGCCGAGAAGGGTGGATCACTCAAGGTCAGGAGTTGGAACAGCCTGAGCAAGAGCGAGACCCCCTCTCTACTAAATAGAGAGAGAAATTAATTGACCAACTAAAAATATATAGAAAAAGTTAGCTGGGCATGGTGGCGCATGTCTGTAGTCCCAGCTACTCGAGAGGCTGAGGCAGAAGGATTGCTTGAGTCCAGGAGTGTGAGGTTGCTGTGAGCTAGGCTGACGCCATGGCACTCTAACCCTGGGCAACAGAGTGAGACCAACTCCAAAAAAAAAAAAAAAAAAGCCGATTAGGTAGTTTTATCATTGCCTTTTATCTATCAATCTCAGGGCTTACACTTGGCTTTCCTTTACTTCCTACTATACATTTACATATGGTTCTTTCTTAAACCTACTTATATATTTTTCACTTAGGCTACCAACCTTACAGCCTACACGCTAGGTGCCCAAAGAACATGTTTGCTAGGATGAGAAAGAGTACCTTTCAAAAAATAGAATTCACTTAGCCCCTATCCTGTATGTTCTCACTGGTACTCCAATCCCTAAGAGATTGAAAATCGGCCTCCAAAGTCATTACACTATAGCAGATGAACATGCTACTAAAGTTATGCTTTCACTCTAACATTTTAAATATCCATCTATGCCATATGAGCCATGCTATCTTAACTTACTATATTGTTTTATATGGTCCAGCATCATCTGAATACTGGAATCTGCTTGTTTCTCAATAGCCGTAAGTAGTGTTACAATCCCATTTCTTTTTTTGAGACACAGTCTCACTCTGTTGCCCGGGCTAGAGTGCCATGGTGTTAGCCTAGCTCACAGCACCCTCAAACTCCTGGGCTCAAGCCATCCTTCTGCCTCAGTCTCCCCACCATTTTTTCTCTATATACTTTTAGTTGGCCAATTAATTTTTTTCTATTTTTAGTAGAGACGGGGTCTCGCTCTTGCTCAGGCTGGCCTCAAACTCCTGTCCTTGAGCGATCCGCGCACCTCGGCCTCCCAGAGTGCTAGGATTACAGGCGTGAGGCACCGCGCCCGGACACAATCCCATTTCAATATTTAGTAAATCCAGTACTGAGGGGTCCCATTCCCCAAACCTACAGTAATTCTCTAAGACTATAAGTCTAATTGATAAAAAAATACCTTACCACACCAGACATAGATTTTTAAAAACCGAAACATTTATTGTATGACTAGTTGTTGAAATTCTTAAGATGAACTGGATGCTGCAACAGCTGCCCTCTTGGGTTTAGGTGTTGTTCCTTCACGGAATCCATGCCTGCACATTAAAAACAAGAACAGTTACTTCAGCAACAATGCACACATTTTAACTTCTGTTAAGCAGGTTTCAAACAAGCTTATCTCAGTTAAATGCTGAAATCAATGTTATTCATATGTTCAGACATTTATTTTTACAACATCACTGATAAGCTGTTACTCTTTACTTTATTCTGCTTAAAGATACCCATTTTAGGATATAATTAACTAAATCTGCAATAATGGCCCCAAAACTTATTTGTCCATAATGGTCATTAGGCCAGTTATTTTGTTCTAGTTTGTCAAGAGAAGTAAGGTATTTACGAAAATTGTTCTGTACTGAGGGAAAGATCCCAAATATTTTCCCTTAGCAAAGAAAAAAACAGGAGCATATTCAATGGCAGACATTTTCTAAACTGCTTAACTAAGAGATTTACATTTTAACTCACTTAATATTCATATCTACTCTAAGAAAGGTATACTACTCCCCTTTAAAGATGAGTAAATTGAGGCATGTCAAAGTAAACTTACAGTATGGCTCCAAGTTCATGCTCTGAACTACTACATGATACTAAGCACCAAAACTAAGTCTGTACAACTGTATAAATGACGTTAGGTACACAGAAGAGCCACCTCCAATTGCCTTATAACCTTTTCAAATTGGATACTCTGGAGATTGAGTGGATAGAGACCAGAGACTGTAAAATATCCTGTTTTGCCCAGGACATTCCCCCACAACAAAGGATTACCCAGCCCCAAATAACAATAGCTGAGAATCACTGAAACAGAACACAGTAAGTAGTGGAGGGAACACAGCTTTAAAGTTCAATCTGCATAACTTCTTAGATTGGTTATTCTTAAAAGCTACTGTTAAAATGCAGGTTGGTAAGAAATGCTGAGACTCTGCATTTCTAACTCACTCTTAAGGGCCAGACTTTTGAGTAACAAGACCCCAAGGTATCTTTCTATATAAAAGGCAATAGCAACTAGGACAGTTTTCTACAGCAGACTTACCTAAAGCCACAAAACTGAATTGAACCAAGTTAGCCTGACTCCAGACCTCATTCACCATTGTCTTAAAAAATTTTGATACCATGGCCGGGCGCGGTGGCTCACGCCTGTAATCCTAGCACTCTGGGAGGCCGAGGTGGGTGGATTGCTCAAGGTCAGGAGTTTGAAACCAGCCTGAGCAAGAGTGAGACCCTGTCTCTACAATAAATAGAAAGAAATTCATTGGCCAACTAATATATATACAAAAAATTAGCCGGGCATGGTGGCACATGCCTGTAGTTCAGCTACTCGGAGCTGAGGCAGTAGGATCGATCGCTTGAGCCCAGGAGTTTGAGGTTGCTGTGAGCTAGGCTGACAGCCATGGCACTCACTCTAGCCTGGGCAACAAAGCGAGACTCTGTCTCAAAAAAAAAAAAAAAAATTTTTTTTGATACCAATTAAGAGTGAGATGAAGGTATTGCTAATAAATACCAACATTTTGGTGGTGGAAAGCAATGCTCCAGACACTTGTACTATCTAAAATAAAATTCAAATTAAAATTAGTCTTAAGGTCCTGGTGGCCGAAGAAAAAAGTTGCTTTCAATACCTCACCCCTACTAACCATCAAGGTGGGACCTTTTTACACGAGTCCACACATGAGTTCTTATTCAAGCCCATAGAACCAATGATCAAAACAGAAAAACTGTACCTGAATCTGCGGTATACAATTTTTAGGTGCCTCATCCGACCGGTCCCGGTGGTATTTCGTCTTTTAGCCTTCGCACTCCAATTATCTAAAACACAAGTTCAGGCAAAATTACAAATGGTTTCTCCCTTACACAACTTAAAGGCATCATTGGTTTAAACACTTGAGTACTATGACCCTTCATCAGCATACAGACGTTCAAATCTTATGTTAAACATCAAATACAGTTCAAAGTCATTCCCCCACTTAAGTACGATGCAAACAAAAACAGTTGGCCTGAAAAACATTACTTACACTTTCTCTTGCGCTTGGCAGGGTAGCCACATTTGCCACAGGTCGACTTTTGAAGGTGGTAGGCCTTAGAGCCACAACGGCGGCACAACGTATGCGTCTTATTGCGACGCTTACCAAATGATGACGTCCCCTTCGTCTGTAAATTAAAGGAACAAACAATTCCGAAATCTGGGAATTTCTACACTTACTCTGACATTTTCAGGGAAAACTAATGGTAAAACTTAAAGGTAATCATAATGGCCACAATTACGGGAGAAGTTCGTAATTTTCACAAATGCCAATTATCTAAAGCCCTCGGCAAGAGTTGCAGTGTTCTGAAATCTCTCTTATTATCGTAAAATAAATAAATGAACAAGGAATAGGTAAAAGACAAAAAGACTGGTTTTCCTACCTACTTCAAAGGCAAAAACTTTCTGCCAGGTACCACCAACGAATGACTTTGCACAAAGCCAATCGCTCCGTAACTTCTTCCCTCAGCTCCCATCCAAGGAACGAGCTGTGCGGGCTCCCCAAAGGTCAGACCGAAGCAAGGGACCTAGTGCGGCGCCAGCTCCACGACTACAGTCCACGACTACAGGCTGGTCCCCTCGGCACCAGTCAGGAGCCATTCTTCTAGTTTTCGAAGGCCACTGCACACCCCTTTCCTGACCACCCGTTCCCTTTATCCGGAATCTTGCCAGCCCTCCAAGGATAGCAAGCAACGCGGCGCAGAGAACAAGGATGGAACACGATTCTAAGAAGCCCCCACAATGAACTCACCATCTCGCTTCTGTGGCCGAGACCAAAGAGACCGGAAAAGAAGGAACTTCCGCTATATCGCGCTCAGAAGCTTCCGTCCAAGGAAGTACTTCCTGCGGAGCGTGGTGCAGCGTTCTCAATCGTCCGTCGCCCGCAGTGTGGGTGGGGCCAAGAGGAAGCGGAGCCAGGCGGAGCCAATCGAGTTTCAGCGTCTGGCAGGCACCGGATGGGCATGTTTGCGCCTGATGCCTCTGGGCCCGGATCCGCGTTCTGGGGCAAAGCTTGGCTCTTCCTGCTGCTGGTGTTGTTAACTAGTCTTTCGCTTTATCAGATCCGTTGCCAAATTGCAGATTTCAGTCCTCCAGCTGCAAGGAGAAACGGGAGTGCGGGAGCGGCCTGCTCAGTGCTCCCGGCGTGTATGTGCTGACTGCGGGACTGGGATCCCGATCCAGGAGAAGCCAGTTTCTCCACTCGGGGCCCGGAAGCTTTTGGCTGATGCGGACTCTCACTTTGAGAGGTCGCCGGAGTAGGAGGCACGGACTGTCCTTGCAGGGGCTGGAGTTTAATCTAAAGGGAAAGGAAGATAGCTTTTATACTGTAGTAATTTAGAGGCAAAAGATTTGGCTGTGCCAAGGAGTCACACATGGAACTTGTTAATTATAGTTTTCATCAGCCTCTAGTTAGGAAATCTGATTCAGCAGGTTTGCATAGGGTCAGGAAGTCTGTACTTAAGTCGCTTTCTAGGTAGTTTTGAAATCGGTGGTTCCCAAACTGCTTTGGTCAACGCTATTATATTTGTAACCGCTTATCCAAAAAAAAAAAAAAAACCACTCTCACAAAACAAGATTATATCCAAACATTTAAGAGACCGGTTTTAGCTCTGTAGCCCAGCCTGGAGTTCAGTGACCCAATCATAGCTCACTGTAACCTCGAATTCCTGGGCTTAAGCGATCCTCCTGCCTTACCCTCCCGAGTAGATGGGATGGGACTACAGGCATGCGCCACCAAGCCAGGCAGCACTTAAAAATTAGGAAGGCCAGCATGGTGGCTCACGTCTGTAATCCTAGCACTTTGGGGAACAGAGACGGGAGGATCACTTGAGCTCAAGAGGTATTAGCCCACCGTAGGCAACAAAGCAAGGCCCCGTCTCTATAAAAATAAATTAGCTGAGCCTGGCGATGTGCGCCGGTAGTCCTAGCTACTACAGAGGCTGCAGCAGGGAGATTGCTTGAGCCCAGGAATTTGAGGTTACCATGAGCTATGATTGGGACACTGCACTCCAGCCTGGGCTACAGAGCTAGACCCCTTCTCTTTAAGAAAAAAAAAAGGGTGGGGGGTACCTATATAATCTGCTTACTTTCTAAAACAAACTGAGAATTCTTGGCTTGTCATGCAAAATTTTAACAAATTGACTAGATGGTAGATGAACACCTAGGAATCAGGTTCAATTTTAGCAGGTTAACAATTGATTAGTGCCTAATAAGTAGTGGGCTCTTTTCTAGAGGATGGAAATAGAAACCTTAACAGGACATGTGGTAGATGTTATAGAGAGGGGAAAGCAAACATTTGAATGATTTGATCAAACTGCAATTCAGGGGAGACTCTGGATTAGGTGCTTTATTTCCTGTTGCTGCTGTAACAAGTTACCAGAAATTTAGTGGCTTAAAGCAACACAAATTTAATTGACAGAAAGTTTCAATTATGGGAGATGAAGGAGTTCTAGAGATCTAAAATACTGTGCCTATAGTCAACAATGTTATACACCTAAAAGTCTGTTAAGAGTAAATCTCAAGTGTTGTTACCATAATTTAAGAAAAATATATAAATTTATTAAGGTTCTGCTTGTCAGAAGCACGAGAAGGGTCTCACTGGGCTAAAACTGAAATGTTGGCAGGGCTACCTTTCTGGGAGGTGCAAGGGGAGAATCTGTTCTTTTGCCTTTTTCAGCTTCTAGAGGCTGCCCAAACTCCTTGGTTTATTGCTCCCTTGCACCTTTAATGCCAGTAATATAAGAGTGTCCCTTTTTCTTTTTCTTTTTGAGACAAGTCTCTCTCTATTGCCTAGCCTAGGACTAGAATGTAGCGGCCTCATCATAGCTCACTGCAACCTCAAACTCCTGGGCTCAGGGGATCCACCTACGTCAGTTTCCCAAGTAACTAGGGCTGCAGGCACATGCCGCCACACCTGACTAATTTTTCTGTTTTTTGTAGAGCTGGAGTCCACTATGTTGCTCAGGCTGGTCTTGAACTCCTGGCGTGAAATAGTCCTCCTGCCTTGGTATCCTAAAGTGTTGGGATTATAGGCATCAGCCATCACACCTGGCCAGTCTCCCCCTGGCCCTACCCCGAAAATAAGATTTCTAAGCCCTATCCCGAAAATAAGACCTAGTGATGGCTGTGACTATGCAGCGTATCTGCACAACCCATGCATTTTGTCGCAGAGCAGTAAAGATATGAGCAGTCCTTCTCATCTGCCCCATCATGACAGCTACTATCCCAGAGGTGACCGGAAAAGTGCAGGCAGCCCCACCTACAAGGTCAGCTCCCCCTGTCAGATCCCAGCCATCCTGTGCGTGGCTGCAAGCTGAGGCTTTGAGGGGAAAATAACACATCCCCTGAAAATAAACCCTAATATGTCTTCTTGAGGAAAAATAAATATAAGACCCTGTCTTATTTTTGGGATAAAACAATATTAACTAGTAATCTTTAAAGTGGAAAATATAAATCCCTCTGTAATCATATCCCCAGAAATAACCAATGTTACAATTTGGTTATCTATCTATATACATATCATATACAGATGTGGCGTACCTATTATTTTTTATTTATTTATTTATTTATTTTTGAGACAGAGTCTCACTCTGTTGCCCAGGCTAGAGTGTCGTGGCATCAGCCTAGCTCACAGCAACCTCAAACTCCTGAGCTCAAGCAATCCTCCCGCCTCGGCCTCCCAGAGTGCTAGGATTACAGGCATGAGTCACCACACCTGGCTCCTATTAATTTCTTAAAACAAAAATGAGATCTGTAAATTGCTGTTTTCCATAGCAATATATCATGTGTAGCATTACTTGTCCATATATAGAGATCTAATTATCTTTTTTAACAATTCTTTGATATTTCACTGTTGACATATCAATATTTATTTCACAAATTTCCAATTTCAGACATTCTGGTTATTTTCAATTTTCTGCTTTTATAAGTAACATTGTAATACAGATCCTTGCATATACATCTTTGGGCATTTGTCTGATTTACTTTATTTCCTTTTATGTTTTTGAGACAAGATCTTTTTCTGTCACCAAGGCTGGAATGCAGTGGCATGATCATAGCTCACTGTAACTTCGAACAGCTGGGCTCAAGCAATCCTCCTACCTCAGTCTCCAGAGTAGCTGGGACTTATAGGCATGTGACAGCATGCCTGGCTAATTTTTAAAACAATTTTTAACAATGGGGTCTTGCTGTATTGCCCAGGCTAGTCTCAAACTCCTGATCTCTAGTGATCCTCCCACCTCAGCCTCCCAAAATGCTGGGATTATAGGTGTTAGCCACCACGCTGGACCTGAGTCTTTTCTTTTCTTTCTTTTTTTTTTTTTTGATTATTTTCTTAAGATCATTTCCTGGAAATGAAATTGCTGGATTGAAGGAAATGATTTTATTTATTTATTGCTGAATACTACCCTCCAAAAATCAATTAATAATTTACATTCTAATCATCATAGTATAGAGCTCAGAGCAGGAAATACCTAGTCCAACCAAGTTCAAGAGAGACTTCTTAGAGGAGGTGACTCTTGGGGTTTGAGTTATGATAAGATTGAAGCAAGCCTTCAAAGGAGCAGATAAATAATCTACAGGGAGCCATTGAGAGAGTGCCCAGGGCTAGATTCCCCCACTGTGCTTCTTTGTGGCTATATTCTCTAACACTAGGTGTCACTGATGTATTTAATCTTTGCCAAATAGAATTACTCTTTGTTTTTTTTACTTTTATTTATTTACTTACTAGTGTCAATGGAAAAGAAGGCAAACTGTAAAATAATGTAAAGAAGTTTATTCTGAGCCAAATTTAAGGACCATGGCCTTAAGCTATGCCCAAGAAGCCTTGAACCAGTGGACTGGCTGTGGTTGGGTGACAGTTTGGTTTTATACACTTCGGGGATACAGGAATTACAGATAATGCAATAAATCAATACATGGAAGGCAGGCTGGGCCCGGTGCCTCACACCTGTAATCTTAGCACTCTGGGAGGCCGAGGCGGGCAGATTGCTCAAGGTCAGGAGTTCGACACCAGCCTGAGCAAGAGCGAGACCCTGTCTCTACTATAAATAGAAAGAAATTAATTGGCCAACTAATATATATAGAAAAAATTATCTGGGCTTGTTGGCGCATGCCTGTAGTCCCAGCTATTCGGGAGGCTGAAGCAGAAGGATGGCTTAAGCCCAGGAGTTTGAGGTTGCTGTGAGCTAGGCTGATGCCATGGCACTCAAACAAAGCGAGACTCTGTCTCAAAAAAAAAAAAAAAAAATAACATGGAAGGCATACATTGGTTTGGCCCAAAAAGGTGGGACATATCAAAGTGGGCTTAAAGGTTATAGGTGGGTTTAAAGACTCTGGCTTGTAATTGTTTAAAGAAATGAAGCTTTGTCTAAAGACTTAAAATGTTTTAAGTTAAGATAAGGAAGTCTGTTAATCAGAGACAAGCTACAGCCACGTATTTGTTGTATATATTGAGGATCTGCAAGTTTGTTCTAAACAGCCTTAGGCCTGTTAATAAGTTACAAAGGATATCTCCAAGTAGGTACAGTTCGCATGATGAGGCATATTTGACCTCCCTTCTCACAGCGGGCAACTCAGTTTTAGGATATCCCTTGGCCAAGAAAGAGTCCATTTATTCAGTCAGTGGGAGTGGAGAGGAGGCTCAGACTGAATTGTAGTTCACATCAGATGGTTTCATAATCCATTTCCTGGTTTAGAGGAAAAAGAAACAATGGCTACCGAGAGCGTTCCCTCAGAGATCATAGAAAGAGAAAGAAAAAAGTTGCTTGAAATCCTCCAACACGATCCTGATTCTATCTTAGACACTTTAACCTCTTGGAGGCTGATTTCTGAGGAAGAATATGAGACTCTGGAGCATGTTACAGATCCCCTGAAGAAAAGTCGGAAGCTGTTAATTTTGG